CGGAGAGGTAAAGAAACTGCCTGAGGTCACACAGCACAGTCTCCATGGAAGGGCTCTGTCTTTGGATCTTGCAGCAGCCTCCCGACCAGCCAGCAGTGCCCCCGCAGTCTGACTGCCTCCCCCTGGCTTGGGGGCTGCACATCTCCAGGCCTTGAGCAGACAGACAGACAGACAGCTGGATGTGGGAGATACGCACACACAGACTGATGGCGGGACAGAGAGGACCACTGTAGTGGGGAGGAAGGGATTGAGCCACCACAGTCCAGGAGGGGAGGGCGGGATCTGCCCTTTGGCCTATGGCATCCTTACCAATCGTTCCTGGCAGGCTCAGGGCTGCAGGACTGACCTCAGAGGTGACCTCAGAGTTGGATGCTTGCTGCAGGCTCAGGGGATTCTGTTAGTTCCCCAGGGGTGGAGAAGAGCAAAGAGGACACCCCGACAATGGAGCCAAACCAGGGGTCACCACTGCTCCTGCTTGGCAGGGTCCTAGAAACTCGTGTCTCAGTGGGGTCTCTCAGTCAGTCAATCACTAAGACCTGGGCGAGGTGCTGCTTTGCTGATAACCAGAGCTTTGGGGAGCCCCACCCCAGGAGGGAGAGCACGTGCCACCTGGCCCCAGGGCCCAAGTGGCCACACAGCACTCTGGAGCTGCTGTCTCGTGAGGCGTGGGTGGATGGGGCTCACTCTGCCACCCTTCGGTGTTTGTGCTCGCTGGGCCATTCACAGGTGAGAGCTTAGGAACCGAGGATGCTGGTCACGAAGACACAACTGTCACTTGATAAAAGGAAAAGCCCTACACTTCCTATGGTTATTTTCCTGATGCTCATGGCTGCCCTGGAGGATTCACGCAGTGCTGACCACACAGCCCTGTTGGGTGCAGGCGCTCAACATACCATACCCCACCCGGGACTAAGGACCACGCCAGCTTCCGCAATGCGCTACGTCCCTCTTTAAATTAGCCAACCCGTGCGCACTTCGTGCTCACTCCGTACTCTGTGGCAACTCCTGATTGGCCACAGCTGGATATGTTAGCCAGAGCCTGCATCCCATTCCCGCCCTGCTTCCTCGTGGCAGCCTGTGATTGGTCACGGCCAAATATATAAACCAGAGCCCGCGTAAATAAAGCAGCAGTTAACTGTCGCCCACAAGAGCGTCTCCTGTTTCATTGGGGCTGCGCCGGTCACAGCCGGGTCTCTGTGTGGCCACCTTGCGACTCCGCGAGGACCCAGGGTCACCCTGGGGATGCAGCTTCTCACCACCTCCCAAGGACACCGTGTCCAAGCCAAGGGCCAGTCACGGGAGGACACTGCCTGGCCCGTGGCCTACACAGGTGGCGCTTCCACTGCTGCCCTCTGCCCTCGCCCCTCCCCTCTGTCAGCGGCCTCTGATGTCTGCCCCCCTTTCGCCTCAGCTGTTTGTCATTCGCTTTAGGGGTCTCCTGTCCAGCACAGATTTGCAGTGAGGTTCGTAATCCGACTTGAAAATGCCGTAAGCTGCAGGAGGCACCTCGCCCGCATTTGTGGCGAGACGCGGTAGTCAAGTGTTTGCCACAACTTACTCTGTGCCTTCCTGCTTTCTCCTCTCTCTCCTCCCGACCTTCATGGAGCCACGTGGGCAGCCGTGGTGGGCAGCGTGGACGTGGACAGGCCCCAGGGGCTTGGTAGGGACGGCGTGTGGCGATGGCGGCTCAGAGGTCCAAAGCCTTTGGTTCGTTCTCCAGCTCTTAACAGCATGGGGTCCCCGTGGGTCCCAGGCTTGTCTTGGGAGGGGACAGGACAGTGTGGGGTGGATGGGATGGGGCTAGGACGGCAGGTGTGAGCCTGAGCTGTCACCTTCTCTGGGCTCCAGCAGGTAAAGGGGGAGCCGGAAACTGCACACAGGAGACACCTCCAGGAAGGGTCCCCCGAAACCCGAGAACACCCCACAGCACACTGCAGACCTCGCACCCCAGCTTCACAGCTGGACGTGGCTCCTCTGTGACCCAGAGGGACCCCTCCAACTCCTGCCATGTCCCAGGCCAGCCACCAGGCATCCTCACCTATGCGGACTTCAGCGTGCTGGTGTGGACCGCTCCTGTCCCTCGGCAGCACGGCTCAGCCATGCAGCCAGGGAGGCAGGACGTGGGCGTGGCACACGCACCCTTTCCCGCCATGTCCGTCCCGTCCAGCGCAGCGCAGCATTGCTGCTTCCTCTGCGGTCTCTTGACTGACTTCCCACTGCTAATTGAGCCACCAAGAGCCCGACAAGGAGGTCTGCCCCGCTCAGCCGCTGCAGCCGCTGCCCTGGGTGAGACAGCCCCTCACCACTCGCTCCACGGCCAGGAAGCAGGAGAGAGCGGGTCGGGTCAGGTCCAGGGTCTGGCAGGGCCTCGGAGGCCATGCCCGGAGACATCTCCCTGGGCCCACCTCCTCAGGTGCCAACTGCGGCGATACCCACCATGCCTGTCCTGGGCCCTCTGCCTGGGTCCTTGCACTCAGTGACGACAAGGTGCCAGTCCGTGTATTTCCTGAGGTGCGAGCGTCTGCAAGGCATCCACTCCAGGATACACAACGGCACACTCAGGTCTCTGTCTCCTGCAAGCCTTCGGTGGGCCCCGGGGTCAGTGCTCGCCAGCGGGGACGCTCCCTCCCTCTGCCCGCCTCCTGAGCTCCTCCTGAGGCAGACAAGATGGGATTGAGCCAGCCCGGACGGAGGCAGGGAACCCAGCCGAGTGACTCCATTTCCAGCAGCATCACACCAGTACAGGGGCAGGGCAGGCACACAACAGGCCACGAGGTGTCTAACTCACCCAGAGTGGGAGCGGGCTCGTAAGCTGTTCTTCAGAGCGCCCCTGAACTCAGAGGCTGAAATCTAACCCAGAGCGCTCGCTCCCGGGGTCACCGCTGTTGGAAGCCGTGCGGGTTCTTCCTGGGCTGTGCACACGCCAGGCTGTGCGCTCTGAGCTTCGTGTGGTGTGAGGAAGACCAGCGGGAGCTCCGTTACCTTCCGAATTTCAACTGATTCAGCTTCCACACAGAGGGAGTGGAACACACGGAGGCTGCCCACCCTCCACGACTGGGCCACTGGGCTCCAGGCCTGCAGGGCCCCCGGCCCCTGCAGCTCAGCAGCTGCTCCCCCAGAGCCCCCACTCTTCAGCCTGGCAGCCTGGTCCTTCCCCTTAGCTCCACACTGCTCACCACTGGCACAGGAAAGCCTCAGCTGCATGGTCCTGCCCGCCGCGCCCAGCTTTACCTTCTGGTCCCGAGACACAGGTGCTTCCTCCTGCTGCAAGGCTCACCCCCACCCTCCCTGGGCCCTGCCCCCACTGAGATGCCCCAGGTCCTGGCAGTGCTTGCTGGGGCAAGAGAACTGGGAGCCCCGGGCCTGGCCTGGCCTCCCAGGGGGCTGTGCTTCCCTTCTCCCGCCATCCTGGGGGTGGGCGTCAAAGCCCCCACAGGTCAGAGGACACTGCACTAGGCCAGTGCAGACACCATTCCTGTCCCTGCCACCTCTTGCCCTGTGGTGATGCCAACCTTCCCCATCTCTTCCCCGCCCTGATGTTACTGCTGAGTACTTTTCCAAGTCCTGGCTTCCTGGTTACCCTCTTTTCCGTATTCCCCAGGACAGCTAACTACACAGCTGCATTGCTACAGAGCCATGGCTTTAAGGCTTTCTAAGCAGGGTGCTCCTCTGAGGTGGACAGGGAGGTCACTGTGAAGTCCCTGTGACCTTGTTCTCCCCAACATTTCAGCGCACCAGGCGTACTCTGCCACTCTGCTCCCCTCAGGGCCAGCTTGGCCGCTGCCACCTCCGTGCTGTGACTTCCGCAGGTGTCTCACTGGGCACTAGGGGCAGTGGGCAGGATGAGTGGGCCGAGAGGAAGCAAGGTCCGCAGGCACCGTAATGGCAGTGGCAGGGCACATGGAGAACGCGTCTGATGCCTGCTTTAACATCATTAAAATTGGTGTAAAATCTGGGGCGGAATGCACAGGGACCCCTCCCCGACACACCAGGGTCACTGATTCACACCACAGCACACCAAGCACGAAGCCCTGTTATAAAGTGATTTTATTAAATTGATTTGGACATACTGTAGGTCAAATAATATTTTCTGAAGATAACAATTATGGGCTTTAAAGCTTGACATAAAATTAGTAGCTTCAAAAGTGTTAGTCATATCCCCAGCAACAGCATGATAAAATAATTCAACTATGTAGAAATATAGAACTCTAGGACTAGCTGGAAACTTGGAAATCATTCAGCCCAATATCCTCATTCAGTGAGAAAACTAGACTCAAAGATTAAGCGATTCGCCCAAGCTCTCATACCTAATAGTAGTAAAGCTAGAAATCAAACCAATTTTTTCTAAAACTAAAATTCTATCAATGATATTTCGACGGGCTCTCTAGCAACTAAAAGTCTAGGCTGACCTCTACTGCTCCACACTACCGTGACAGGAAGGCGACCAGGTGCTCCAGTTCATCGCACCATGGCCACAGGCCTGCAGGGCCCGCCCACCCCGGAGAGGAGGATGGGAGGGCCCACCGGCCCCACCTCACCCCCAGCACCCAGGCCGGCCCACCATGCTGTGGGCTCCTGCAAACCCCTTCCAGCCAACAGAAGAAACTAACTCAAGATGGAGAGGGAAATCAAAGTGTGGTTTCAGTATTTTGGTAACTATTTTAAGAAATTCGTTTCCTGCCTTGGACGGTGGACAGGCGCTGCCACGCTGACCACCCACGTCAGAGCTTCGCAGACCCTCAGTTTCCCCAAAGACTTCCTGAGTGGGAGGGCTGCGTGTGGGGAACCAGAGACAGGAGTGAGGAACAAAACCAAGGTGAGAACCAGCTAGCCGCTCTCGGCCAGGTCCTTGGGGACTTTTGGCCTTCCCACATTCCTCGAGTTCCCCCGCATGAGTTTTTAATACCAATCAGTAAGAGCAAACAAAACAAAACAAAACAGGCCCATGATGGCAGGCTGCCTCGAGGCTCAGCACACTGACCTGGGGCCTGGCCAGCCCCGTCCCAGCAAGCAGCACCTGAGGGGCGGCCGTGGCCCAGCCCTGGGCCCTGGTAGGGCCTCCCTGACCCCAGCTAACGCCGCCCACCCCCACCCCCCACTCTACTCACCACCCTAGTGTATTTTCTTCATAGCACTTAACCACTACCTCAAACTACATTATTATCTGTTTACTTGCTTATCTGTGTTCTCCACTGTGAGAGCAGGACCGTGTCTGTCTGACTCAGGGGGGCATCCAGCACCCAGCATAGCCCTGGCACCCAGGTGTTCAATAAATATTTGCTGAACGAAAGAAGAATGCAAAGAATGACAGCAGGACAGACACGCCTGCCTGGAAAGGACAGCGACCAGATCCAGAGTGGCTCCTCCCACCACCCCCTTCTCCTAAGGTCTCCCCTGGCTTGGAAGGAGCACCCCACGTTGCAAAGAAAGCTCAAGGGCGCATGGCTGGAGGGACAGGAGTTTCCACCCCGCTTGCTTCTTCCTCCTGTTACTTACTCAGCTGTCCCTGCTAAAAAATCCAAGTTCACAATACGTGGTGCAGCCACTAGAAGATAAGTCTGCAGCGGAGACACAGTGAAGGGCAGAACCACAGCACGGACGCTGCAGAGCGTGTGCGCCTGCCCAGGACTTCTGAGGGGCCGAGTGAGGGGCAGGAGCCACCCAAACTCTAAACCAAACCGAACGCCATCTAGGAAGGGGTATCTGAGGACATGAGGTAAAGTGGGTGCAGAAATAATGGGACTCACGGGAAGCTATGGAGCCGAGCCACACGGCCACCTCAGAAACACCAAGGCGCTCGGAGCGGGAGCTGTCCGTCCTCACACACACCGCCCAGGAGGGGACCGAGACAAGTGGGGTGGGAGCTCCCTCGGGAGCCCAGGGCGGGCCCTTCTCAGGACAGCAGGCTGAAGGCGGCTCAGGAGGCTGGCCCTGACCCAGCCTTTGGGCAGCCCCTCAATGGCTGAGGCATCGTGCCAGGTCCCGGAAGTGCACGTCTGTGCCCAGGACGACAGGACTCGCCAGGTTTGGGCGAGAGTTCAGACGGCTCCCACCGCATTCAAAGCCTACATGTGAAACACACTTGGCAAGAACCAGTGAACCAAAAATTGAACCTCACCTACGTCTCCTCAAAAAGAATGATTTGCTGGGGGCTGCTGTCAAGTCTTTCTCGGGTCAATGTAGGTATATACAGCGTTTCCTTCCTAGTGGCACTTATGGGTTTTCAGGTTAACTTAGCAAAATGTTTTATATAACTGATATTTTGAGATGGTTTCTCTCCTTGGTGTGTACTCTCTGGTGGATGCAGAGACTAGTGCTCTGGCTGAAGGCTTTCCCACACTCATCGCACTTAAAGGGCTTCTCTCCTGTGTGCACTCTCTGGTGGATGCAGAGGCTGGAGCTCTGGCTGAAGGCCTTCCCACACCCACAACACCTATAGGGCTTCTCTCCTGTGTGCACTCTCTGGTGGATGCAGAGGCTGGAGCTCTGGCTGAAGGCCTTCCCACACTCGTAGCATTTATAGGGCTTCTCTCCCGTGTGGACCCTCTGATGCATGCAGAGGCTGGAGGTGTGCCTGAAGGCCTTCCCACACTCTTCACATTTGAAGGGCTTCTCCCCCGTGTGGACCCTCTGGTGCATGCAAAGGTTTGAGCTATTGCTGAAGCCCCTGCCGCACTCACTGCAGACATAGGGCTTCTCACCTGTGTGGACCCTCATGTGAATCTGCAGGTGGGAGCTCCAGTTGAAGGCCTTGCCACACTCGTAACATTTATAGGGCTTCTCCACCGTGTGGATCTTTTTATGTCTATTGAGTTTTGTTGTCGTGCTAAAATCCTTGCCACAATCGTCACATTTGTAGACCTTCTCTCCTGTGTGGTCCCGCCAGTGAATGTGCAGCTCAGATATGTGAAAGAAGCCCTTGTCACACTTGTCACACTTATGGGGCTTCTCGGCTGTGTGGACTTTCTGATGCATAAACAGATCTGCTCTCTCAGAGAAGAACTCCCTACACATGGGGCATTTGTAGATCATCTTTCCTATTTGGTACCGTGATTCCGAGGAGAAACTTCCCTCTGGCCCCTGCGGCCCGGGCTGCTGTTTCACCAGGCCTCGCCTGGCCTTGTGGCAGTCCACCTCAGGCTTGCCCTGGGAGGCAGGGCCAGGGCCGCCCAAGTTCCCCCCCACTTGTCTTCCTGTGCAAGGCTTCGTCCTGCATAGTGTCCCTCACTCAGCGTCCCTGCGGGTTATAAAGCGACATTTACTTCCACAGCAACTCCGTAACTCACTAGTAAAGAACTGGGTTTAGGGCCTGAGTTTCCAGCATTCCGAGGGGCTGCCAAGGCGCCACTCTCTGCGAGTTTAGGCCCCTGGAACCCTCTCCTTGGAGGGCAATCTTGGGCTTCCCACAGCTAGAGACAGGACTACACAGTGTGTCCCCGACCTCCAGGGTGAGCCGGCACCTGCAGCCTCCCAGGAAGTCAGCGCGGTGCTCTGCCTCCTCCACATCAGACAGGAAGCTTCCTACAGGCAGCTCCTGGCTCCCGGCCGGGGCCCTGCCCCCAGGACAGCCCAGCAAGGGCGATGCGCCAAGTCTTCTGCAACAGAGACACAGCCAGTTAATGGCGCCTGTTGTGGCGGGAAGCTGCGGCTGCCGCTCTCTTTGATTTTATAAGGTGACATGCATACCGCAGAGCTCTTCTGGTCCTGAGGAAACAGCCGCCGTCTCTGTTCCAGAGGGATGTCTCTCGGCTCTGCAGGGCTGGGGAAAAGAATGGCAGAGATGAGCTGCTGTTCAAGGTCAGGCACATAATCCACTCAGAGCTGCCCAGGCAGCCACTGAGACACCGCCAGGGGAGGTGCTAGAGAGAAAGCCGCCCTCCACCCCCAGCAGACAGGCAGGCAGCGGTCTCTGCCAGGCACAGGGAAGGGGCACTCGGAACTCAGCAGTGACAATGCCACTGATGGGAGAGGTCACCTCACATGTGATGCACAGAGAACACGGGCGCCACAATGGCACCGGGCCTCCCCTTAACCACCCTGCCCGTTTCTTCACCCTACAGCCTCACTCAGGCCCCCACAGCAGGCTGTGTGTCAGCTGGCCTGTGCTGCCACACCAGGGTCCTGCCGACTCCTCGTATGGGCAGTTACCGTTCTACCCCTTGGCTCTGATCCTCCCCCTGCACCACGAGGCAAGCGCTGTGAGGGAGGCTCCGTCCGCCCGTCTGTCCGTGCCACCTGCGGAGCCCTCGGGAGGCACGGAGGCCTTAGGACGCCCTCACTCACTTTCCACAGCCTACTCCATTTGGGGGAGCAGTGAGGCTGCCCTCCCGGGCTTGGACAACAGCACACAGAATGAGGCGACACCAGAAGAAAAGAGCCCCAGCCACAGCCTGAACTCTCTGGGGTCACGCCCGGCCGGTGATCTTTCACCCTTCTATGGGACACAGTGGTGCTCAGATTAACTAAGTTAAACCACGAGACCAAAGTGACACTTCAGTAGTATGTCCCACAGGGAGACAGGGTGTGGGGGTGACTGAGGGGACTTCACAGCAAAATGCACTGCTCCTGGGTGGAGGGTCAGGGTAGTGAGATTCACCCAGGCAGAACCTCCATCAGTACAATTACAGCCTTCTGTCTGGGAGAACTACACATGCAACTGTGCTTGGGCCTAGTAATCGCTCATCTAGAAATCCACCTGAAGGTCCGAAGCTAAAACAGGAAATGTTTGGGGTCACGACCGCTGCCTGAGACAGTTTCCACCTCAGCAAAACCCGCTGGCAGCCTTCCCCGCCGCCAGCTGCAGGGTAAGTGGGGTCCAGCCCAGCATTCCTGGTCCTGCCCAAGACGCAATGCTCAACCATCAGACACGGCCGGCAGGCCCAAGTGAGCAGTGCTTTAGGTGGAAACGGGAGGTGGAACAGCACACACCCTGTGGCTCCACTTGCGGAGGGAGGAAGGCACTGTGAGGCTGGCGCTTTCGTTTTTGTGCATAGAAATCAGCACGGTCAAAGAGGAGGGAAAGCTCCCTTCCTGGCCACCTTCGGGAGAGGAGGGCGTGGCGAGGCGGTGCACGTCCTGAGACACACAGTGTCTACAGTGCGGGCTTTGGGAACACACACATGCATGTTTATGTATTCAAATAACAGAACTGAACGGAAAAGGAAAGTGAGCCTCAAAATTTAAAACACAGAGGGTGAACCATAACCCCATGTCTGTGACTCAGGGGCAGCCTGCCAACCATGCACACAGAATGCCCTGCGGATGGAGACGCCAGGGGCCACGCCGTGCTTCCCATCTGGCAGGACAGCACGAACAATTCCCAGGACCACTGTCAGGAGCACACTCAGCACAATAAAAATAGGACAGACACATGGTCAAAATAGGGGGAAGTCCTATAACGCAAACTTTAAATACAGACGCTTCAATTTGTTTTTCAGGAGCTGTCACCAAAAGCTGAGGCAGAGCGAGCCATGGCGATCGCTGGCTTCAGGACCACAGCTCATGTAGAAAACAAGGCTGGAAAAATCTTCTGATGCCAAAAGCAGGAGCCCTGCACTGCCCCAGCACGGGCCCTCAGGAAGACGCAGAGGAACCTCTTGGAATTCACATGCAAATCCAGGTGCTCCCTACACCTGGAAGGGCCTCAATAATTCAGGGTGACAGACTACAGCTGCCAACGTCCCTGAAAGGGGAGAACAAAGCACCCTGCCTGTTTCCTCCACGCACTCTCACCCCACGGCCAGCGAAGCCCCCAGGCACGGGATGCAGACCCTGACAGACAGCAGTGAGAAGATGTGAGCTAGGAGGCCACTGAGCAATCTCAGCGGGACTCCAAGAGGAGCCAGAAGGCAGTATGGGCCACCAGCTCGGTGGCACACTCACAGAAGCTTTAGGGCACCAAGGGAACTGGGGAGCAAGCAGATAATCCGAGGTGAACCCTCTGTGGGGCGGCCGCCCCGAGGTTTGCAGCTAGTGCAGAGCGGAGCAGGAGAGGGGTGGGAGGCTCTAGATAGAGAGGAGGCCCAGCAAAGGTTAGGCTTAGGGTCACAACAGGGTGTCCCTCTTCCCAACCCGATGCCCATAAGCCAGCCGCCACGCATAGGTGACTAAGGAAACCTGATTGGAGCCGGAGGGTCACAGGAAGAGGCCACCTCACAAAGGCGCAGTCCTGAAGTGCTGTCTCTAACACGCCTCAAGGGGGAAGAAGGGGGTAACAAAGGGAAGACACCCTAACAGTAACAAAGTAACACCTAACAGAACCCGGAGGGCAAGGCGGAGAAACAGACGTAAGCTAAGCTGGTCCAGTCCCTTTGCGTGGCTGGAGTTCATGATAAAAACTCAGGGAATGCTGAGCAGACATTCTGCTTCCTGCTCTTCTCACAGCAGCAAGCGAATCCCCTGAAGCCATGAGCCGAGTGGATGTGCTCCCCTTAAACTGCAGGTGCTGCATGGCTTGCACCCGGCTTGCACCCTGATGTCTCCCAAAGCCTCATGTGATCATGGGTGGGGCTTTTTGGTGGCGGATCTAGGATTGGTGCTGCTGGGATCAAGGGTGTCCGTGCCACTCACCTTTAAACCTGGTAAAACATAAGGGGCAGAAAGAGCTGTGGTCATTGTTGTCTCCTGCTTACTGTTCTGTGGTCTTCCGCCTACCATGAAACAGTTCTCTTCTGTGATGCCTCTCTGCCATGTGCCACCCTTCCCTGGAGCCAGCCAGTTATAGATTGAAACCTCTACAAACTGCGTGCCAAAATAACCCTTTCCTCTTTAACAGTGGGTGTTGGGCAGTGTGTCCCTGCAATGAGAAAAGAAGGACAGAATTAAAGTAACTAAGACAGGTATTTTGTCCCAGCCACAAAAAAGTGACTAATACAGAAAACTGCACACAGAATGAGGGCTGCTGCTGTGATTGTTCTTGGTCATGCAGAGGCCTCTGGAGCTGGCTGCAGAAGACTCTGGAAAGGTCTGGCGATGCCAGCTAGTGAAGCCCCGAGTGTTGTGAGCCAAGCGTGCTGGGTGACTCCGGCTGGAGCTCAGACCAGACTGCTGACAGGCACGTGGACAGGAAAGGTCAGACTTAGGAAGTCCCAAATAAGCACCAGAGACTAGAAGAGACGCCATGTGTGTTAACACTCTGACAATGAATCTGTCTGTGTTTCGCCCATGTGTCTTAAGACTGTATGAGGCTTAAAAGCGGCAGACTAATCTGGCAGAGGAAATCTCAAGGCAGTCCAATGTTCAGGCTGTGGCATCGGTACTTCCTCTATGTGAGATCTATGTGAAAATCAGGAGCAAAAAGTAAGGCTGAGGCCATTCGTGGACCAGGGCTAGAGAGAACAAAGCTGCAGCAGCAAGCAAGCCCCATCTGGAAGGCAGCGCCATGCGCAGGGCACCAGCAGACTGGGACAGAGCCCAGCCCCCTCTCCATGTATGGCCTGGCAAACAAGAAGTACCAGCCTCCGCCCCGCCCCACAGGCCCCTGGCTACTGGGAGAAACAGGCTGTGATGATGGCCATGGAGGTGAAAGGCAGCTGGACGCCTGTGTGCTCGGGTGTTTCACTAGCACGGCAGGTCTAGGGCCAGTGGGCTGACCATGGGTTCCGAGGGCAGCGGTATGCACTGTGGCATCTAGGGGATCTCCTTCTCAGGGTTGCAGCCATTGCTGATTCCCTGTGGTCTTGTTTTGACCTGTATCATTTCTATTGTTTTGTTAGGTTGGGTTTTACTCTCTCTTGTTTTGTTTGATCATGTTAAATATGAAGACAGAAGCAACTATTTCAAAGATAGCAAGACATATTATGGTAGCATTTTTGGATTCACTATAGGCTTGCTTCAAAGTCCTTTATTGCATTCATTGTTGTGTTTCTACTGTTTCTATTTTATTCTGTTCTGTTTGATTTTGGCTACATCTCAAGTTATCTGTAGCTATTATGAAGACATCAAAAGGCATTATGGTAACTACTGTTGATTTTGTAATGTTATGAAGTGCTGTATCTCTTACACTGGTTTGTTTTGATTGGTTTTATCCTCTTTAAAATAAAAAAAAGTAAAGCTGAAAAGTATGAAAGATTTGCAGTTTTACCAGACAGGAAGTACCTGCAAAGCTGAGGGTGGGGGCCAAGGACAGGAAGGTTGCTAAAGCGACTTCTGCCACAGAGGAGCAGCCAAGCATTGTGTGTCAATGCGAAAGATGCTTGAAAGCATCTCAGGAAAGAGCCAGACTACATATCGCAGGCTCAAAGTGTGTTAAGGTAAACTCTGAAAGGCCCTTTGCCCTGAAAAGACAACACAGGGAGCCCTGCCATTCAGGGCCTCCCAGGTCCTGAGCTGAATCATCCAAACCCTGTATCCACGGACTCCAGCTATTGCTGGAGCTGGTGGAGACCCCGGCATCGCCCACAAGGTGACAATTTTTCATTTCTGCACGCAGAATGCAGGAGTTGTGGGGCTATGGAGGCTTCCACTCCCATTTCAGAGGAAGGCTTAAGAGGCCAGGGAAAGCCCCACTCACAGGGTGATGCAGGAAGCTGTGAGAGAAGCAGCAGGCCCAGGGACGACCCCAGGGAGCTGGCGATGGCAGCATGGGGACATCTGTGGAGGAAAACCACAGGCAGCAAGCAACCAGCCCGAGAGAGAAGCCAGGAGGGCTGCAACAGGCGAGGCCAAGGGGCAGGGCTGCCCGAGCCCTCGGACCCCGGCACCGCACACGGAGTTACAGCGCCTCACACTCCCCCTTCCAGGTCTGAGCCTCGCTGTGGCCTGTTCCTTTCCACTCCCTTCCTCTTCCCTCCTGGAATTACAATGTTTACCCTGTGTCGTCATATTTTGGAACTGTCTGTCTTTTCAGTCTTTACATGGCTTCACAGCTAAGTTTGCGTGTGTCCGAGGGACTTGCCTCTTTCACCACTGGAACTGCCGTGGCCTTTGGCAACCATTAAAGATGGACTAAATACATTCTGCACAACGAGATGGCCATGAGCCTTTGCGGCAGAATGTCATGGCTTAGATCTACACGTGCTCCAAAGAGCTTGTGTGCACAACTGAGAGGGTGCATCCCTGCCCCGCCCTCCGACCCTGTGGCCGCGGGCTGTGCGGCCTTCCACCACCCGCTCCCTCCACAACCACGCTCCTGCCTTGGCGCCAGCTGACTATGAACTGAACCCACCAATGCCATGAGGCAAGTTAATTCTCTCTTCTTGAAATTGTGGCTGTTAGGTATTTTGTCCCAGCAACGGGAAGGTAACTAAGCACCAACCTGAGCACTGGAAGACACACTGCAGGCTTCTCTGCAGAGCCAGAAAGGTAACAGTCCACAGAGCAAGACACAGAAAGCAAGGCCACCGGCTTACTCCTCACAAGCCAACCTAGTGCCCACTTTACTAAGTCAGGCGGCAAAGGTGTGGGCACTCATCAAAGCTGGCCTCCAGGAACGCTGTGTAGCTCAGAAGGGCCTGGGACTCCTGTAGTGGCCCTAAAAATACCCAACCCCCAAGGAGTCCTCCGGAGGAGGATCCAGGCAGTCCCCACATCCAGTTTCCTTAAACACCAGGAAACTTGCCCAACAGGATCTGCTCTGGGCCACATCCCTGGAAAGGTGCAGGGGAGTAAGCACCACTGCTTAGGAAAAAGAAAATAAAGCAAAAAATTCCAGAAAACGTGCTAAGTGATGAACCCAAAGACCAGAAAGGCAAACGAACTACAAAAGGGGCTCACTACTATGCACCTTCCTGAGCTGGCGCTGCCAAGTCAGCCCCCCAAATGAAGGGGCAGCGGTTCCCAAACACACCATGTGCAACATCCTACAGGGGAGTGATCAGGGGATATCCCACCTGCCACCCTGAGGGGCCCGTACCCCACCCTGCAGCAGCCCACCTGCCAGGGGCAAGGCTCAGATTCTGCACATGTGGCCTCAGGTGAGCACTGGACCTGCATTTGAGAACTTGAAAGGTAAATTCTGAACCCATTAAAGCCTAAAATTTCAATATCCGTCTCCACAGCCGGTGCACCCCCTGGAGAGCCTTTCCTGCCTCCCTGCAGTCGTCAGTCAGGTCTGTGCTCATCACACTCAGACCAGGGAGCTCCTGCATCGACGCTGACCTCTCAGCACAGGAGAAAGTGAGGGGAAAGCAGGTAAACAGCTCACGCTGAGATGCAGGAAGTATACAAAAATGAGTGTCAAAAACCAGGAAACTTTCCCAAGACAGTATCTGCTCTGGGCCACATCCCTGGAAAGGGGTGTCTATGGCCAGGGACACAGCACAGATGGGCCGCTCCAGCACCAGCAGTCCACACCTGCTCAGCCGCAGGTGCCACACAGCAGAGTCTGCTGCAGCACCTGCATTTCCTCCAGCAGACCCTGTGCAGGCAGCAGACCCCACTGGTCACCTCTTCGGGACTCTGTGTCCTCACTCCTGTAGCAGAACTGGAAGGGAACAGCCCCCTGCCTGGGAAGAAGGTAAAGACATTGGACTGGAGCTGGGGCCCAAATGTGGACCTTGAAATGTGGATCATATAACATACATGCCTAGCTACCCTTTCCACAAAAACTCCATTGAGGAAAAAACAAAAGGTGGGGGTCTCTAACTTTTCATAACTTTCTTGATGTAACAACCCCAATGTTGGGTTGCAAGCCAGCAACTCTCAAGCAGGGGTGCCAGTCTCCACAGGGCAGGGTGGCATCTGAGGGGCACCGTCTACTGGGCCTGGCATGAGGATGACAGGCCGTGTCAGAAGAAAGCCAGCTGTTAATGTGAGGTGAGGTCCAGAAGGCTGGCTGCAGGAGGGACACGGCTCCTGGTGACATTCAATACACACAGGGTACAGAATCAAGAAAGAAACTCCAGTCACACTCCTGACTAAGCTTCAGTCATGCAGCCTGGGTGCCACACTGTACCCAAGTCCAGCCACATCCATCCCAGCAGAAGTGGTTGAGCACGCAAGGAATGCTGTCCTGCGGAAGGCTGTGACCTTGGTGTAAGGACGGCCATGGAGCTGCCACCTCTGGAGGAAAGACTGCAGCCCAGCAGCTCACCCTGCACAGCCAGCCGGGAAAGCAAGGCCTCCAGAGGACACGCAGGTGTAGAGATGTCGGGCTGGCACCTGGGCACAGGCATGAGGCTGACGAGGCTGATGGGGGTGCGTGGGGAAGAGACGCCACATGAGAATCTGAGGGGCGGTACTGTATGTAATAGGGGAGTGATCTGTATGTAACCAGAGAATGATCTGTAACAGGGGAGTTACTGTATGTAACCAGAGAATGAAATTTAAAAGCATACCCACCTCAGCCTGATGGTTCCAGGCCAGTATGTCCCCTAATCCTGCATCTCACATATGGGTGTATGTAGCATTAGTCAAAACGCAAGCTTCAGAACCCCAGGCCAGATGGTGGTGCCCGGTGTTGTCTGCACACAGCACTCGGCTCCCAGGGCAGCAGCACTCTAGTGAGAACAGCAGACAGCTGACAGTCTCTGAACCTGGGTTCAGCCCCACTGAGGGTTAGGGTTGGGGTTAGGTCTTCACAGCCCCACTCAGCCGTGCACGCTGCACCCTTCTGCCCTCTGGACATGAGTGGCCGTGCCTCCTGGACACCTTTTCACCCAGCACTCTCCGGCCACCACCACCCACGCCATCCTTTCCTGCCATCTCTTCCTCCACTCCCCTCTCGATGCTGGGGTGCTCCAAGGCTCCGACCCGGACTCATCTTTTCTGAACATCTTATTCCTTGGAACCCTACCTGGCCATGGGGCCTGACACCCCACCCTGATGCCAGCTCCCAAGTTTCACCTGCAGCCCTTTCTGGCCCACAGACATTTCCAAACCCAGCCTACACTCACACTCACACTCACACTCTCTCACATCCACGTCACCCTCGGTTGTGCTTTCCCTCCTCCCTGCCATCCCACCACCAGCCAAATCTCCACTTCCTCTATCCTGCCACGTCCATCTGCCCACAGCCTTCTTCCCTAGGCTTGAGCCCTGCAAGCCCCTGGCTCTTGGCTTTCCATCTCGCTCCTCTGGCCCTGCCCTCTAGCAAAAATCAGCCAGTCTTTCTTTGTTTTGGGGACCAGAAATCAAACTCAGCACCTCACACTTGCCAGGGAGGTGCTGTGCTACTGAGCAATCAACACTGGCCTCAAGCACCCTGGGAACCCTAAACAGTGCCCCTCCCCTGCAGGCCACGGGCTCGGGCTCACAGGCTAGACCTGCCCCCATGCGCTCTGCGCCCTCCCTGCTGCCCCTCAGAGTGGTCTTCCTCAGGTCTGGCACAGCTCCACAGTGCTTCTCTTACTCACACCTGAGGCCCCCTGGCTGCTGACAACAGGGAACCTGAGCTTTATTCCCACAAGGTACAACAGGGTGCTGAGTCTGGTCAGCCTCAGGCTCCCACCGTGCCTCCTGCTGTGTGCGCCCCTCCCAAGGGGACCCCACAGAAGGGTGGACCCGGAACTCTGCTAAGGCTCCACTGCAAAGCAATGACAGTGAACAGGTATAAATAAATAAATTAATTAATTGTGTTCATTTTTTTTTTTTTTGTCTTTTTCGGTTTTTATCAGTACCAGGGATCAAATCACAACCGCCTACTTGCAAGGTAGGTGCTTATGCCGCTGAGCTAAATCCCCAGCCCCCAATAAATAAATTAATTAAAAAAAAGAAAGCAAACAGGTGCCCAGGTGGGAACAGGACATCTAAAACGGTGGTGTGAAGGCTGGCAGCAACCTTCTCCAGGACCTGGAATCCTGACACTTGGAAAATGACAAATTGGTGAAGAAAAAGCAGCAGAGCGCTGGGAATGAAAAAGCCAACAGGAAAACAGAAGCTGCAGAGCAACCAAAGAGCCAGAGAGGAAGGAAGTGGCAGAGTGCTGACCCGGTTCCGGGTTCCTGGGAGGGGATGGCAGCCCTGAGTGCAAACACTGGCACGAGCGGAGCGGGCAGCCTCCGTGGAGGCGGGGCTACGGCAGCCACTTCCTCTGCAGCGCAGGGCAGCCAGGCCTCGAGCCACAAGGGGGAGTGGGCGACACAGCCAGACGCAGCCAGCAGCCACCCGGGAGGGAGCCCCCAGCCACGGGAATTTTCTGCACCCGCTCCCCTTTGGGGGGCGGGAGCTGTTTCCTTTGTCCTTATCTCTTGCTCCTTGTTTTTATTTTTTCTTGTCTTTTGTTACTGTTACCTACTTTTATCAACTTTTATTCTTTAACTGATTTTTTATTTCACTTCTTTCCACCTCACCTTCCTTTTCTTCTTTGCAATGTCTGACTTCATTCACCCCTGACCCTCCGGTACTATCCATCAGCTTTATGAATTTTCAGCCACGTGGCTGGCCATGCTATTACTGTTGCCTTCTTTTCCACTCTTAGTGGTGGTATAGTTGTTGGTTTTACTAGTATTCACTCTGTGTCAACGTTTGCTTTGCTTTGTGTCCGTGTTATTACTGTGGCTTTTTCCTGCTGTCAAGGGTGGCACAGCTACAGCTACCTGGTCCTCACTGTTCACCAATCACCAGCTGCTCTGACTCTGGTATTACTGGTTTCTATTGTGAGTGGTGGCATAGCTGTAGATCTTAACTGGCTTTCACCATATGCCAGTACCGAGTCTGTCTCTGTGCTGTTTGTTTCTCCTCTGTGTGTGTGCGGTGCTGGAGATCAAGTCCCCGCAGAGAGCTGGACACCGTGAAGGTGCTCACACAGTATGCTGAATGGACTGAAGTGATGTGTAAACGTCGGCACACACTCAAACCCAAGGAGGAGGCACAGGGAGACAAATCTGAAGAGACGCCCACAGCGGAGAGTTTCTCTATCCTCAATGACCTTCAGCTCACAGTGGAGAGCAACAGGAGCACAAAAGGCAACAGATGCCAGCACCCCTCCCACCCAAGCACTCACCAGGCCCGACCCCGCTCAGCTCTGGCAAGTTCAGAGTGGTGTAGCTGGGACATCCCAATACTCCTAACTCCCTAAAAGCTGATCTCAGGGACACTGAAGTACAGGAAGCCACAGGAAAAAACCTAAAAAAAGACCTCAAAATGTCTGAAGAGATAAAGGAAACCTGTAAGCAAATGTACATAACATTTAACAAATTCAAAGACGATTTAACAATTTAATTAAATAAAGGATTTTACCAATAAAATGTTTGACAAGCTTAAAGAAGCAGGGAACAGTAAGCTAACTGAGTTGAGCAAGACAAAACACACAATGTCCACTTTGGAAAGAATTACGATGCATAACAAGAGAGCAAGCAGAGACTAAAAAGAAAACCCAGTGGAAAACGGTAGCCAGCCTGACCAATGTGAGAATGGAGGGTCAGAAACCGAAGACAAGGAGTGTAGATCATACATTCAATGACACCCTAAAAATTACAAGAAACCATACTGGGTCCAATACCTGCCAAAAACAAATGGAAAAAAAAAAAAAACCCTTTACCTCAGAATTATAGGAATAAAGCTCGGAAGATAACACAAGTTATAAAAAGTTTATTCGCTAAAACCATAGTACAAAATTTTCCACATTTAAAGGATTCAAACTTCCAATACAAGGCACAGAACCCCAAAAGCCACAAGCAGAAAAGAGGCCATCTCTAGGACACATCCTGGTCAAAATTCCAGAAGTTCAACAAGAGAACACTAAGAGCTGCTAGAGAAAAACACTAAGGCAAGTCCATCGCAACCACGCAGAACAGACTTCTCGGCACAAATGTGAAGGCCAGGAGAGCTTGGGGTAGTTTTTCAAACCCTAAAATGACTTCTATATCCTGCAAAATCAGCCTTCAAAATTGACAGAGAACTAAAGACTTTATAACCTTTTTCTTTCTTCCCTAAAATCCATTTTATTTCAAGGATGAAAAGAGAAGAAAACAGGAGGAGGAGGAAGGGGAAGAAGAACTAGAACAAAATTTGAAACATGTCAGTCGGGGCAGCAATGGTACACTGCGCACTGTCGTCCCCAAATCTTTCACCCAGAGCTCAAGACGTCTGCACTCGACCGGCCGAACACTGCCGGCACAAGTCTCGTTCTTTAGCAAACTCGGAGAATCAGGAGTATAGCTATCCTAACTATTTTTTACACACACACACACACACACACACACACACACACACACGTTTTTTTTCAGCTTCCCATGCTAATGAAACAGTAAGTCTACATGTGTCTTATTTATTTCACCAATGAGTATGTTCTCAAATTGCAACCATTTACCTATAAAAGAGTCTTTCTAACTTTCTACAACAAAGAATTCCTGAGGAAATACATGACCATTAAGCCAGTACTGCAGGAAATATTTAAAAGGAACAGTGCAAAGGTAAATACACACCTGACTAGGAGAGGGAGTAAACAAAAGGGAAAAAATGCAGGCATCGGCAATGGAAAAGTCACGCAATGACAGGATCCAATAAACACCTCACGGTAACAGCTCTCAGTGTCCACGGTCTCAACCCCCCAGTCCCAGGACTCAGACTGGCAGACCAGAAAAAAGAAACCAAAACGCAAGCACATATGGCCTACAGAAGACACGGCTCATCCAAAAGGAGGTACGCAGACAGACAGGAGGAGGACAGGAACCAATGCCCAAAGCAGGAGGAGGAGCTGTCCTACCTGCAGACACAGCACACAGGAGCCAACACTGATCAGAGGAGACCCAGTAAAGGGAACCATTCAACAGCAAGAGAGGACAATTGTACATTGTTTGGTATGCACCAAATGTCAGCACACCCAGCTTCATAAACATAAAACTTCATAAATTGGATTTAAAAAGACAGATACCATAGTGGGAGACTTCAATAGCCCACCCATTCTCATAATTAGGCCGGTAAGACAAAAAAACCAAACCAAACCAAACCAAACCAAACCAAACCCCCTCCACAGTTAAACCACACACCGAACAAATGAACATACATGTATTTTTTTTCTCTTTTGAGACAGTCTCACTAATTATGCAGTTCAGGCTGGCCTCAAAGTCGCAGCGATGCTCCTGCTGAACACACCAAGGTAAAGGAGAAGGAAATGCCAAGGCTCCACAGTTTTCTGTTCAAGTAACTGGATGGAGATGGAGCCAATCATTTAGACTGGAAACTGGAAAAGTCCCGGTTTGCAGCTTAGGACCATGACTTTCCGATTTAGACATGCTCGTGGCACTCAAAGGGAGGTATCAAGACAGCTAGTGTGATCAGAGGAAGGCACTACGATGCCAAGATACCATCAAGTACCCTTCTGTGACATCAGACAAAGCCTTCTTCCCTACTCTCACAGAATGAGAGGAGTGAGACAGACGGCCCAGGGAAGTGAAGACGACCTGGGCACTCTGCTGACTGAAGCCTGACACTGAGTGACCAAGTCCACAGCAAGCCAAATAGAGGAGTGTACACTGTCTGCGTAAGTGTAACTGTCCTCTTGCATAAGGTTCACACATGGGCAAACAAACGGACACTGTCACGCAGTGAAGAGGTAAGGATCATGAAGAAGCAGGGTCCCCTGGCCTGGCGGGGTCTGCATCCGGCCGACACAGGTGCTCATCTCCCAGCTCCAGGAGTTCGTCTGCTCGGGCCCTCCACCTGTGAACCTGCATGGTGCAACTCAGGAAAAGGCCAAGAAAGGGAAAAATGGGGAGGAACTACACTGAGAGAGAAGCCTAAAACCGCAACAGGGAGAAACCACAGCAAGGGCAGAGACAGGGCCCACGTCCCAGGCAGAGGGATGGCCTCAGAGCAGAGGCAGGACGGCCGCCAGGGACAGAGCTAAAGGCAGGAAGCACAGCTGCCCGAGTTAGGAGTGGAGCCTGAGGCCGAGGTCAGGCTGGGATAGGTGGGGTGCAGCCAGGTGGAGGGCCCTTTGTCCTTCGGTTATTTCCATTTGGAAGAACTTAGCTGGGGCACTCTGCATGCAGCACCTGGGAAGCCGAGCCCTGGGGCCAGGTGCACGCTCACCCGTGACAGTCCACTGGGCGTCTCTGGTTGTACTGTTGCCCACAGCCATCACGGGCACTTAGGGTTCTTGAGTCTCCAGGCCCCACTTGCCAGTCCCTCCGCACAGATGACCTTGCTCACTGCGTCAGGGCAGAGCGCGTGTATGTAACTGTCTCACCCAAAGTGCTGAGGGTGTATTTCCTAGGAACGATAAATGAAACACTGGCAAGGTTTGTCTGTCCCCAGCCCCTAGCAAAAACAATCACCACACACCGCAGCAGGCTGAAAAGGTCACCTGACAGAGCAGGTGACTTCCCCAGACAGAGCAGGTAATGGCATCAAGGGGCCCATAAGATGCCAAGAAAGACAAGGAGTCCCTGTACTGGCACCCATGCTAGCACCTGTGAAGTGCGAAGAACCTACACCCTCCTGGGAAGGTTCTCAGAGGACCCTACCTTCGCAGCTCCCCCAGATGCGCTGCGGTGCAGCTGCCGGGAGGTCAGCCTACCCGATGCTCCTGGCAGGCCTGCAGCCGACCCCAATGTAGGCTCAGTGCTGCATGCACGCAGGCTTGTGCTCCACAGCTTCTGGCAAGCAGCGCGGGCCCTGAGAATCACTGAGAACATGGCCTCCGCATCTGCACCGTTTCTTGTCCAGGGCAAAGGCGCACTCCTGGCACACAACTGAAGAGCCAGGGCATCCTGACCAGTCTCAGCAGCCGAGGAAGCTACTAGGCTGGACCCCAAGCTGAAACGAAACCAGTCACATGAAGAGTGGGATCACCAAGGGTCCTGGTTCAGGGGTGCGCAGGAGCCCCAGATGGGGGGCACAACGTGCAGAAGGCAGACGTGGGCACCAACACAGCAACACCGCAGCATGGGACACTCTGCTGAAGGCCGCACTTTCTTGGGGGACCAAATTTTGAGAAAACACAGCCACTACAGCTGTGAGACACCAACGCGCTAGTGGTCCCCTGGAAGACCAACAAAGATGACAGGCCTTCTTAATCAAGGCCCAGAGCCAGGACAGTTTCCAGAAAATGAGATTAAAAAGGCCAGGTCCGTGAGACTGCCACGGTTCCCAAGGGCAGGGCAAGGGCAGTCCCTAAGGCACCGAGGGGGGAATTTTGAATTCTGGTACCAGCCGGCCCCAGGATGAGCAGCCCTGGCCTCACCTAAACTCCCGAAGCACAGCTGCGCCTCTAGGTGAATCTGACCGGTCCCCACCCCACCCCAAACGCTGCTCCACCTTCTGCAACAGGGCACGCCTCACATGGGCCCTTCCCGAGACCCTGTCGGGTTCGCCTCTGCTACCCTTACGCCCCTCAGCACGGGCAATTGTACGCCTCAGGACACAGCTGATCCTGAGACAGGGTCTCTGCAGAGAGGCTCAGTTCCTGTAAGGTCATCCTAGCTGAGGCGGGCCCAAGTCCAAAGCTGTGCCCTTAAAAAGGGCATACACATGGGTGTGCACAACGCAGCCACAGGAGCAGAGCAGAGGTGGGCAATGTGCCCTCAGCCAACGAGCACAAGCACCGCTGGCAGCCACCAGAAGCTGGAAGGGGCAAAAAAGAGGGCTTCCCAGTGCTGGGGTGAGGCGCGCCCTGCTGACATGGCCACCCGACCTCCAGCCTGCGGAGGAAGCCAGCAGAGCACTCTGCGGCTTCCCCAGGGAAGGTGTAGTGAGCTCTGGACTCCCTTCCGCCAGGGCGGGCGCTGTGTGCACAACAGGAACTGTTGATGGGTCACACCTATGCCGCACCCCCAACCCTTTCCACGCTGTAAAACCGCTCACTTCACACATCGCCCGTCCCTAAAGAAGGAATCTAAGCATGTATGTAACTCAGACACTTTCTCAAGGGGTCACATCTCATGGAGAGGCCTTGGTGTTCCCTTTCCTTCCCAACCATTCCACTGTTTGCTTCCAGCTGCAAAGGAACCAAGAGTCCACTGACTGTATGGGTGGTCTCCCACCGTGGCCACGCACCTCCCTGGAGGACAGTCCACACCAAACGTCAGGCGGGGCAGGGCCCAATCTCTGCCCAGGGCACAGTGGCAGGCCGTGTCACGGTCATACCAGGTGAGCCTGGGCCGTTCCTGCCCAAGGACTGCCACCCCCATGGCCCAGGAGTGGTCCCCATCCATGACATCCTGCTCTCATCCTGGTCAAAACACTGGCCAGCCTCCCTGCCCGCCCCACCCGCCCCCTGAGCTCGCCCCTCAGTTTTCAGGCTGTGAGCCTGCCCCCTCACCACAGGGAGAGTCCTTCTCTAGGCCGCAGAGTCACACACCCGGCCGGCCCCAGCTAGCCCAGGAGCCCTACGGGGGACCTGCAGCTCCCCACCCAGTGGCATGCCCACTGCCTGGGGCGGAGGCTTGGCTCCTGCTTCAAGCCTGTCACTCATCCCTAAGACTCGAGTGCCCCTAATGTAAGAGAGAATAGCCACACCTTTGTCTCCCAGGGTTTTGAGAAAAGAAAGAATGCACGGGCACTGGTGACAGCACCTGCTGCCTTTCTGCCTCTCTAACCTGCCTGCCTGCCCACGGGCAGGTGTGTTCTGGAGGACAGCTTCAGGGGCCTGCGGCAGACAGCTCAGCCCCAGCCTCCACTCCTGTCCCTAACCTCACTCTGATCCCTGTTTGGGGACTGCCTTTCCCTCTCTAAAGGCAACTGGACCAGTAAGCCAGGAGCTCTCCTTCTGCTGTAAAGGCTGAGACCCCTCCCACCTCCTGGTACAGTCAAGGGGAGGGACTGCAGTTTGGTCAGTCCTCCCAGAGACCATGCATGGCGAGGGAGATTCACAGGTGACACGAAACTAGACTTCATCACGCGCTCTAGGACCATGCCAAGGCAGACACTCAGCCAGCTGCTAACAGGCTCTTCCCCCTCCTTCCCGTGCCCTGGTACTTGGTACCTGACGTCTGCAGGCTGTCTCTGCTGCTGACTGCCAGGTTTTGTTCTGCTGGTGGTGCTGGGAATGAACCCCTCCTCGGGTATGCAGGGAGGCACCCTGCCACTGAGCTGCCCTCTAGCTCACACTGCACATCTAGGGATGTGCTAAGACAATGCCAAGCTGCCTGCTGGTTTTGACTCAGAAAATAACTGTTTCTCATAAAAATGTCATGCATGTTCACATGAAATGGACTTACCATGTCTAAATAAATGAGTTAGCACCTCTGCAAAATGATAATTTTTCATTCTCAGTACAGAAAATACCAAGTCATGTTAGAATCTATCTTCAGGGAGGATGAAGAACATGGACGTAATGGCAAGACGAGCACTGGCCCGTAGCCTCCACTGTGAGATGCTGTGGTTCTAAGTATCAGAAAAATGTCCCCCAAAGTCCTCCAAGATAATTCAGAAGTTTAGCGCCCATGACAACCAGGAGGCGCACACCTAAGAACCCTGCCAAGAGTAAATGAAGACCTTGGTCCATAGAGGTCCCTCACAGAGCGTGGCACCTTGCTCCTGGCTGTCACTCAGGCTACATGGTGGTGACAGGCCTGCTCGATGTTCCTGCACGCGGAGCAGCTCCAGCCATACTGTTAATGATCACTGCCTCTATTACACTAACATGTGAGCTGCCCGAAGGGTTTGGAAGTCAGCTTCACAGTGGTGAAAGGTGGGTCTGACCAAACAGGATTCATCAGCTAAACTTCTGAGGTCAGCCAGGGTCTAAGCTCCTTTCTATAATGAGGTCAAGTTTTTAATTGAAAGTCTGCTTCTTTACAGCAGGAAGGGTTTCATGTCATTCTGATGCCTTTCTGCCTGCATCTCTGTCAGCAGGGAGAATCGTGCTGAAGAGGCCTCCAGCCCGCACTGTGCCCGGCTGCTCCAGCTGCTTCTGCCCACACGGCCTGATCGCTCCGACAGCTGCCCACACCCCTCAAGTCCCTCGCTCCTCTCACAGCAGGCGAGGTCACCTGGCCCGGCTGTAAAGAGCTCTAGGAAGAGCACCGGTTTCACTTGATCCTGGGGGAAACTGTGCTTCCTGAGGCTGGAGATGAGACAAACGCAGCCGCCTCTGGTTTTCCTTCAGCTAGAAATGACCAGAGCCCCATTATGAAACTAGGTGTAGGGAGCAGCAAAGCCGCAGGGAGAACCAGGCCCAGTTTTCCTCTGTGTGTGCTTGGCCTCTGACGGAAGAGGATGTGGGCACGCACCCACAGCCTTCCTTCAGCTAGGTCATCCACAGAGACGACCCATGGAGGACACTGGGCTCCATCTTCCAACTACAGTGGCTACCTGGAAACTAATGGCGGGGTGCTGACCAACCTCTCCATCCAGGAGCAGCCTGTGCCTTGGCACTGGGCCATGAAGGAGGGAAGACGTCACACACCCACGTGGGCTCAAACCTCCATACCCGCTGTCACACCTGCTGTAGCACAGGTGGCCCGGCGTCAGGAACTCAAGGCCAGACGAAGGCAAGTTCGAGAACGTGAGACCATGAGTTTCCTTCTCACTGAGTCCGAGGGCCCTGCTCCGCTGAAATTTGAGACAGCTCTGGGTTACAGTGTTCAAAGGGAAACGGGCCACCATGACGGGTCAGAGCCCCCAAGATACCTAGGGAGAGGCAACCTGCCCACAGCTATCTGAAGGCATGTGCCTTTTGCAACCACGATCACTAATTAAGAAATAGAGGCTTATGAATCACGATGTACGGCCTTGCAGTGTTAGAATGAATGGAAGAGGAAAGTGGAAATGCTTCCAGCTTTTTTAGGGATGTGAGTTTATCTGCAGGAACAAAGAACTGACTGACAATGCAGGCAGCGCACAGTACATATTTTAAAGCGCAGGAAGGAATGCACGTGCAGGAATTTAATTAAAGTGTTTGCTCCTGGGCAGGAGAGCTCCTTCCTTTTTAAGCACCACAGTCGTGCCCGCCCTGAGAAGGCACAAAACCCACCAGGGGACCCAGCTGCTACTGGCCACACGACTGCTTATGTGAGACCAAGTCTAGCCAGCTGACCCAAGGGCGTAACTGGGACCTAGGGTGTGGCTTCAGGCAGCAGATTCCGGGTCTCTCCACAACCCAACAGTCCCAGCAGATGAGGCTGGGAAATGTGAAGCTGAATGCAGAAAGAAACTGCAGAGGGCAGCAGACACCACAGCACACCACAGCCAGGAGCAAGTGGGGAAAGGACATACAAAGAGGACAAAGCTGGGTGGCAGCGAGTGAGAGCAGACAGACAGAGAGACGCCGGGAGACAACGGTGTCCCTGGGGACAACTGAGCTGTCTCCAGGGCTAGGTTCCGGGAGGTCCCTAATCCATACGCATCCTACAGACATCCCACTTTCTTAGGAGCTGTCTGAGTCCATCTGTTCCTGCAACAAAACAGCTTCCTCTCTTTGTCAGGGTGAAGGTTCCCCCAAAGGCTCTTCAGCCCCACGAACAAGCAGGTCCCTGGCAGGTTCCCTCCACCAGACATGGCCAGACACAGCCACTGTCCACAGGACAGGGGTGGCTCAGCCTCAGGTGACCAGCCAGGCACAGTCCCTACGGCTCAGAGCATCCCAAGACTTTGAAGACCATTCCACTGCCAGAGCTAAGAAATCATTTATTGGCTGGAAAATAAGATAAGAAATGTGCAAAATCAGTTCCTAAATGCTGAATGCTGCCAACCAGTCAAACAAAGCTGACTGCCTGCAAAGCCTGAACTCTGATTCGACACAGCAAAGGCCTCCAGAGGTCTTCACCCCAGTCCCCGCACGGTGGACACACGATACCCTGTGCCCTGCACTGCAC